AAATGTAAAGAAACTTCAATATTTTCATTGGGAAATCTCAGAAATTAATAATTTTCAAATTCACATTTTTGGTTTTAAAATTGATTATTTCAAACCAAATTATGAAAAATTCCGTATTCTCCAATTTTCTTTAATTTTCTACCAAACACATCTTGTATTACTCTTTTATAAAGAAATGCAAAGAAACTTCAATATTTTCATTGGGAAATTTCAGAAATTTGTCATTTTCAAATTCACATTTTTGCTGTAAAAATTGATTATTTCAAACCAATTTATGAAAAATTCCGTATTCTCTAATTATCTTCAATTTTCTACCAAACACATCTTGTATTACTCTTTTATAAAGAAATGCAAAGAAACTTCAATATTTTCAATGGGAAATTTCTGAAATTTATTATTTTCATATACACATTTTTGCTGTTAAAATCGATTATTTCAAATTAATTTCTGTATTAATTTATTATTAAGAATTGCAACGAAATTATACAATAATAAATCGACTATAATTAAATATAATAATTTTACTTGCATAAAGAACGATTTGAACTTGAACTTCTGTTTTAAATTAATTAAAAAAAGAGTAATATTACTAAAGTTACTTTAATACATGAATATAATTACAAATCTATATCATTAATCTAAATTTATTAAAACTAAAAACAATACATTTATAGTAAATACAAATAAAAATAGAGAAAAGTTTTAGCATTTGTTAATAATTTTTTTATACATATTTTACAATTATTTTCTTCAGAATAAAGATGTGCACGAAAATAACGATGAAAGATTTGGTCACTGCCCACCACGAGATGGCCCACATCCATTACTTCATAAACTACAGGAATCAGCCGAAAGTGTTCAGAGACGGGGCGAATCCAGGTGAAGAAGACAAATATTCTAATTATTGTATTAATCTAATAATTATATAATTGCAGGTTTTCACGAAGCGATAGGCGAAGCGATCGGTCTTTCAGTGAGCACTCCGAAGCATCTGCAGACTTTAGGACTTCTGCAATCTTCCATAGACGATTCCGCTTTGGATATAAACTTCTTGTATCAGATGGCTTTAGACAAAGTGGCTTTTCTACCGTTCGCTTTCTTGATGGACAAGTGGAGATACCAGATCTTCAAAGGGGAAATCACCAAGGAACAGTACAACTGCCAATTCTGGAGGCTCAGGTAATTAAATCTTAATCTATGTTAATAAATTAATTAAACTAATAAATTATGTTTTATAGTGAGGAATATACGGGGATAAAACCGCCGGTGCTACGTTCGGAACTGGATTTCGATCCCGGATCAAAGTATCACGTCCCAGCCAATATTCCGTACTTGAGGTGAGTGAAAGAAAGCTTTTTTTACAATAACAAATTTCTTTTTAATTAAAAATAAGAATAATAATAGTAAACAAAAACAATTAGAGATAAATGCGTGGAAAGCATATAAGAATTTGGATTAATGATTAGTCTTCGTGGCTGGCCGACAGTTCTTCCTCCTGCTCTTGTTCGGACGCGTGGCCGCCGCCGAAGCCGCCTGAGAACTCGTGCTCACCTCCGAATCCTTCGTTTCCGCCTCCTTCGTGTTCTTCCTCGTGGATCGGAACGTGCACTTTGACCTCGTACGGTACCTTCTTCTCGACGACGTACGGCACCTTCTTGATTACCGTGTAAGGAACGGGGTTATCGTATGGGATTTTCACGTGATACGGGACGAGTTTCTCGTAGGGAACTGGTACCCTTTTCTCGACGGGGAATGGGGCTGGGATTGGGACTTTTACTGGGTATGGGGCAGGTTTTTCTACTGTGTAAGGGACTGGACGATCGACGTGCACTTTGACGGGATAAGGGACGGGTTTGTCGACGTGGTATGGGATTTTCTTGAGGACTGGGACTGGGTAAGGTTTGGGCACGTGAACTGGGTATGGGCGATCGACGTGCACTTCTACGGGAACCGGGATGATCTTCTCTACTGGGTACGGTTTCGGGACATGAACTGGGATCTTTACTGGGTACGGGACTTTCTTTTCGACGGGATACGGGGCCGGGATGTACACTTTAACGGGGACGGGAACCTTCTTCTCTACAGGGTAAGGTTGAGGAACTAACACTTTGACTGGATACGGACGATCGACGGGAACTCTGATCGGGACGTGCACGGGCTTCTCCACCGGGTAGGGTTTTGGTATGGCTACAGGTACTTTGATCTCCACCTTGAACGGAACCGGAATCTTCTTCTCGACGGGATAAGGTTGAGGGACGTGGACGTGCACCGGATAAGGTACTGGTTTCTCCACGGGAACAGGTATCTTCTTTTCCACCGGATACGGAACCGGAATGTTCTTGTAAACGGTCACCGTCTTAATATGATGCTCCTCATGTTCACCTCCATGCTGAGATTCTTCGTATCCTCCTCCACCGCCACTTTGATGTCCGTAATCCTGGTGACTTCCCAACTCCAGACCTCTCTTCCCTTTGACACCCTTCTTCGCCTCCTCTTCCGCGGCGCTCACCAGCAGGAGAGCGAAGACGCCCTGCGAAACAAAAATTGAAAAAGAGAAAACCCATCAGCTAACGGTTCGGGGAAAGCGACCACCTCCATCTATCTATTAATTATTCTCTTCCACTATTGTAAATTAGTTTTCACTTTTCACCAGATGTTCCATCTCTTTGTTAATTCTTCTACAACTACTATTATTACTATTATGGTTTATTTATACATACCAGTAGTACTCTCATTGCGATGGAAATCGGAAGAGAACTGGATAGCCTCTTCTCGGACCTCCAGCTTTTTATAACTGCACGCATTGCACGGGCACTTTCACCTCCTTCCTTCCTCCCCAGATACGGGCGCAGAGCATCTCTGCCACCCTTCTTCCTCGAAAGTCTGCTCGAATTACGGAATCAAAACGGGCGCAAACGAAGTGGGAGCAATAGAGAAAAGCGTTATTTTTGCAGAGAGGAAGAATAAATGTGCATTCGCTCGTAATTACAACAACAAAAATTCAATTAAAAACCGCAGTTCAAGCATATACGCATAGATCTTGATTATTATTACATGAGTTAATTATATCAGTAAACGAAAGCTCAACAACCAGACAATAAATGCATAATAAATATTTAGAAAATTATAACAAATTCTTTCGATTTAAAGCATTTAAGATCAATAATCAACAAAATATTAATTATTTCTTGAATTTTTAGTAATTACTTTAAACTATTCACAAATTCATTGAATTTAAACCAAAAATATAAAAACTATAATCACTTTGATCACACATTTATTATTATTAGATTTTGAACCGAAAATATAAGTTTTAACTAAAAACTCATCCCAAAATTAGTATTAGAAAACACAGTTTTTTGTCTTCAGATTGGCGGCAAATTCAAATCTTGCGTTAATTTTGAGACACCCTTTATATTATTAATTGAGAAATCTTTAAAAAAAATAAACTAATTCGTTTTTAAGTATTATAATATTAAAAATAAATAACAAATTAACTAATGTTTCGTCAAATTTTCAACAAACAAATAACAAATTCTT